GTGTTCATTAACCAAAAAATTCACATTGAAAACACTTTGAATATTCTTTCAATTCCTTGGCAACCAAAAATCCAAATCATTCATTCCAAGGATCAAAAGCCAAAGAAATCCTTCATTGATCTTATACCAATCTTTGGCTTGTTGAGTAAAAACATCAAATTCATAAACACCAAAACACCTGTCTCACAACTCCAATTAAACTTCCAGAAGATCATCAATTTGAAGATCCGGGAAGGATTTGCTTGAAGAGCTGGAGTGCGTGGCGATTCACGGGAGGTAGAAATTATACAAGGCTGGGATTTAGCACGGATCTGCAAAATTCAGGAGGGTCTTGAGTTCATACAGCAAGGAGGTCAGAAAATTGAGAGTGTCAATGATATCTGGCGTGTAAGTTGGTTTCTACAATAGTGAATCTCTGCTGGCTTGTGCCCGGAGTTTTTACCCAGTTGGATTTCTCCGTCAACATGTTTATTGTGTTTTTACCACTTTAATTTATTTACTTGTCAATGGTAATCCAACATAGGTAGATAAATCACGTGAATTAATCTGGACAAATTATAATTTGTGTGACTTGTTACACGAATTATTCAAAAAGTTTTTAATTCCGCAAGAACACCTATTCACCCCCCTCTAGGTGTTAGTTGGGTCGAACGATAGGTTTTTCAGATACACAGGGATTTCCAGATAAATTGGTTAAACTGAAGATGGTTTAAGAGTAGCTATTGACTACAATTCGAGATTTCAAGATTTTTTTCTCTATTACAATGCCTCTATTTATACAAATATATGAGATTCTATTATTGATCTATTACATCATTCAGTACATGAACAAATGCACACTTGCCTTTCTATTATTGTCCTCCTTGGACCTCCATCTTCACAGACAACATCTGATTTTTATTAAAGGAGCTTCTATTATTGTCCTCCCTTACTCATGTCTCCACATGCTTTTTCAACTTTTTTATCAAAAGAGCATCTTTCTCTATTATTGTCATCTATCTTTTATGTCTTTACATGCGGATGGGGCACTCCCTTAGCTGGCAGGATTTTTTTTATAATGATAGAACATCCTAAAAATTGATGTATTTTGAATCTTGTAATGTAGTCCTTTAAGATTTCTGATTTTTCATGTCCTCCATTTGATACCAGCATCCAGTTTTCATATTGACACAAGCATGAGCATTTTTTATCAAACAAATTTTTAGCAATATTGTATATAGCTTTAATTCCAAGTGTTCTTCTATGTCTGATCCATGACTTTGTTACTATTGAAACTTTTCTATCATTCTCCACCACATCTATTTGGAAGTTGGCTGCAACATATCCAATTGAGATTATGTGTTCAACTGGATAGTAAACAATTACATCATATTCAGGACTTATTGAATAAAATTTCAAGTATATTCTTCGTCCCTTGGCAAATTTTGATACTTCTTTTATGAATATGTCATCAAATTTCGAAATTTCAATCAAATCTTTTCCTGGATATATTAAATCCATAAATCCATAGTCTCTCATAATCTTTATAAACGAATGGTCTCCTTCTTCTATGGCTGTTATTCTAGGATAAACATTATTTTTCGGAAAGATAAAATATGAATGACTTATTTTTATTTCATAAGCAAACTTGACTATTTTAGCTTACTCTTTTTCTTTTAGATCTAAAGGGATTGTGTTATACTGATAGTTTTGGAATTTTTATATCTCCATGTATTACCACTTTTTTAGTTGGTGTTGAATCTCTTTTTTTTATCACTGTTGCTTCCAGCTGTCCCTATTTGGTATTGATTTGGAAAACTCATTTTTGAGCTCTTTGATATATTTGTCTCAGACAATATATCTTTTAGTTGTGTTACAATAGCATCAACTTGATTTTTGAGTTATATGACTTCTTTATAATGCTCAGTAGTGATATTCAATAATATTTTTATATTTGAGTTGAACATCTCTGAGATCTTTGTTGCTCCAGTACTTATGTTTTCGGTTTCTTCTTTAAGAAAATCCGTCCTTTTTGTATATGTAGGATATATTGGTATAATTCCATGACCCTGACTTTATCCATCAGCAAATTCTATATTTCTGCTAAGAAAATTTGCAAAAAAATTATTAACTCCTTTAATATGAACTATATCAAAAATATAAAATGCTAAATAAGCTTGCAACTATGGAGCCTTCTGCATTGAGATTCTGATAGTAGTTTATTTTTGACTAATCCTACAACTTGAGAATTATCAGTTTCAACAATAAATTTATTGAATAATAAAAATAATGAGAACTTTTTTATTCCTCTAATAATTGCTGATAATTTTTTTCATTAGCAGTATAATTTGTTTCTACTTGATTAAATATTCCACTTGAATATCTACAAATCTCATTTAAATATGTTTTTAATATTGCTGCTCAATATTTATCTGAGGCATCTTTATTCACAATTAAATTATCTTTTTCATCTAATAATCTTAATTTTGGTAAATTTTTACATTTTTCTTTTAATGATTTAACTATTTCTGTAGGTTCTTCATTCCATTCTTTAGTATTTGTTTTTCTTAGTAAAAATTGTATTTTATGGCTTTTCTTAGAATGATTTTCAATAAATTTTTCAGCATAGTTTAAACATCCTAAGAATTTTTATATTTGCTCTTTAGATTCTAATTTATCTGAAAAACTTTCCATTTTTTAGATATATGAGTCGCAGTTTTATTCCTCTTTTATCTGTTGATAATCCAAGAAAATATATTTCTTATTTTTCTATTATAGATTTCGTTTTAAAAAGTACAATTTCTTCTTTTTTACATTCATTTATGAATTGTAATAAATGATTTATATGTTTGTCTTTACTATTAGAACATATTAGTATGTCATCTATATAAACAATTAAAAATTCATTAAACTTTTTAAATATATTATCCGTTTTTTTTTATATATTTGAGGTTCATTTTTTAATCCAAATAGCATTATTAATCACTTATATTTTCCTTAAAGTGCACTAAATGCAGTATATTGTATACTATCTTCTTCCATTTTTAATTGTCAAAATCTTGATTTAGAATCAAGTTAAGAATAATATTGTTTTCCTTTTGCAAGATTTATTAAAAATTCTTTATTTGGTAAAAAACATCCATCAAATTTGGTATATTTATTTAATACTTTATAATTTATAACCATTCTAACTTTTCCTCTAACATGTTCAGAATGTTGTTTCATAACCATAAAGGCTGGACTACTATAAGATCCATTACTTGGTCTAATAAGTTTTTGTTCCGACAATTCTTTTATCTTATTTTTGAATTATTGTGTATCTTCTAAAGTATACA